GGAGTTATGATTTTTTAAATAACATGATGTCAGAAAATCAGCCCAAAAGCTTATCTTATTTCTGTTGGTTACGCACCGCTGATTCGCAATGTTTGTCATCACTTCAAGATGTCTACCGATTCGTGAAAAAGGTGTAATACGCGTAGGGTAATACATGACGTCATGCTAACCATGGTTTTTTTTACCAGCGGCAAAGATAATAGGGCCTAGGGTTTAGGAGGCAGCTTTTGCACAGGGACGATGACTGATCTTTATCTGTGACTGGTGGTAACAACAAAGAGTATAAATATTTATACTCTTTGGTAACAACCACTACAGAGGTTATAGGTTCTTAAAACTCAACAAAATGTATCCAACAACTTGACACAGGCGTGAGAAAGCGATTGGTTCTGAGCCTAGCACAACTTATGATATAGAGAGGGCGCTAAAACCATTTATTAATTTGTTTCAACAATAATTTTGTGAGGGTGGTCCAACCAGCCAGAGCTGATCAATTAGGGCCCTCAGTACATACAATAAAGACAATAGAATATAATTATGGAAAAAGCTAGACCTAAAACATTGATATCAAATTGATTGATAGAATGCTTACATTACCAAATTTATTAATTACTGCAATACAGATAAATTAGTGAATTTAATGTGGAAAACGTTAATGAAGAAATTCAAACAAAATAAGGAAAATGTAAATAAAGTACGATTGACAAACTAAAGACATAGTAAAATTATTGAAAATAAGAAATAATCCACAAAATTAAAATATAGATAGATAATGATTTACTTGAATAAACAATATCTAATAAATATTGCAACAAGAATGGACAGGATTTATTCGGTGTAAACACCAAGAAAAGCCCACGAAAGTTCCAGTCGGGTCCTTCTGGTGGTGAATGAACAGTACACCGGGAAACAATCCCCTACACTTTACCAAAGAGTGTACTGCGTTGTTTAACATGCACATGGGCCATAAATTTGCACACGGGACCAACGTCTCAACCGACAGACGGTGCGCTCTAGAACACAAGGAGAGGCAGCGATGGGAATTGAACCGGGGACCTAGAGATCTCCATGGTTCAGCGCACACACAGTGGCTACCACCAGATTAGCCGACTGAGCTAAGCTGCTCTCTCGACATTAAGCAACAGTGGAAATCACAATAAGATTTATATCTCAAAAGTTTGTATTATATCTGCTGCAAAGACGAATGCAATAATAAATTAGAAACATTCAGATATATAATAAATAATAACAATGACCAACAGGATTTTCATGACAGGCAACTTTCGGACATAACGTTGTGTATTGTATCGTAACATACCCCATTCTGGGCCCCCTCTAATTCCCGGATCTGCCACTGTCTACTACCCGCAGTGTCATTCTTCTAACTGTTCCCTGCTTCTACGTAGCTTCTTAATTCTTACATAAATTTCTTAGGCATATACACGCTCTGGTTCCTGCCATGGCGGTCCAATAAAGAAACACACTCATGGAAAGCTGTTTTTTTTTTTTTTTTTTTTTAGGCTGGCCCAACACTAGGTTTTATCATCTCGGACATTTGCCTTTTTTCTTGCATTTAATTTAAGTCACTGATACGGCTTCACAATTTAAAATTGTTTAGCATCAATTATTACAGTACCGTACTAATTGAGATTACAGTATTAGTATATCACTACGATTTTTGTATAACTGTTTTACCTTTTGCATGAACCATCTCAAGGAAGAAATAAATGTTTATTTCAATTTGAATAGGCAAATTAATACAATATCATTCAGTGTTTTCGTCTCGCAACTTTTAGGGCCGGCAACTGAGTGTATTTGGTCGTGGGGCCCAAGAAAACGTTTGATATGAGATTCAGATTCTACATATAGTAGATCTAACTCATAATACCTGTTTATTTCAGAGCAGCTTTTCTTCCAATCCCATGTCCTGGGCTCAAATCACATTGGCACAGACCATGGGGGTGGGGGGTTCCATC